TAGAAAAACCTAATATAATCTATAATATTAATAAATTTTACCTTTTATACTATAGAAATAATATCTAATTAAAATAGTAATAAATAAAAATCTAAAATTATAATCTTATTAAGCTTTTAGATATTAATTATAGTATAGCTTTTCTTAATTAGTTTTTTACTAAACAAGTATACTATTTATTAAACTATAAAGATAAAAAAGCTAAAGGGTATAAACTTATTTATTTAAAATATTTTACTAATATAGTATAGTTTATTAAATTCTTTATTAATTATTTTATAATCTTAGGTACTAATAAAGTAGATTTTTTAATACTTTAACTCTAGTATTTTTAACTATTGAAATTAATATTTATTATTTTTTTAAAATATTTAAAATATTTTTAAAGTTATATTAAATATTTAAATAAATGCTTACAACTTACTATAGTTATTATATAGCGCTATTAATCCTATAGATAGTAATTTTATTAGCTATAATTAACTTTTAAGCTAATATAGAGGGAATTAGTCCTTTTAATATAAAAGTATTAAGGTTTTTATTTCCTATAAAGGAAATATTAATACTATTAAAAGCTATAAAGCTAATAATAGCTAGCTTAGCTATTTTATAGAATTATTTAAATAGTTTAATAACTAAAGTACTTTCTTTTATTTTAACTTAATAGTATTTTTCTTTATTTAAATTATATAAATATTTAATACTAAAATTCCTTAAAATAATAATAAAATTATTAATAATATTTTTAACTTAAATAAAAGTTATATTAATATTAATAATATAAATATAAAACTTGCCTTTAATATTTAATAATAGAAGAAAGTTAGTTTTTAAGTAAAAAAATAGTCCTAATTATATAGAATTAACTTTCTTTTTATTTTAATTAGTATTATTTTATTTAACTTAAGTAGGATTATAATATTTTAGTAGAATATAGTATTTAATCTACATATTAACTTTTAAATATAGTTTATAATAAAGTAGTAATATTATAGCTTTTAATATATAATTATTAATAAAATAGACTTCCTAATAGAAATAATTAAATTGTTTACTATTGTTTTTATTCTTCCTAAGGACAAAAATATTTAAAAAAATATATTTATTATATTTATATAAATAATCTCTAATACCCTTAACTAAAATATTTAATTTTATATAATAAATTAGTTTATTAGTAGCTTTAGCCTTAAGATATTTCTAATTAATTAGAAATATTTTATAATTATTATTTATATAAAACTTATTAAAATTCTATAATAAAAATAAAATAGCTTTAATTATAATATAATATTATTAGTAGAATATAAAACTATATATTATTTATAATATAATAGTTAATTTAAGAATTATTAATTCTTTAATAGTAACAACATTAGCTAAAACTAACTTCTAACTGTAAATAAAGCTTTTAATATAAGCTTTTAACTTATTATTAAAAAGGAAAGTACTTCTATAATAAATATATTTAAATAGCTTAGGTTAGAACCTTACTACTTTAAAAAAGGCTAATAGTAATTTAGAATAGTTTTTATATAATAAATAATCTATTTTTTTTATAACTTATTTATATTAATATAATAGTTATTAAGCGTTTTATTTTTAAAGTTTTATTTTTTAAACCTTTAATACTTTAAAATATTTTTACTTTTATTTTTTTTATTATTAACTTTTTTAACATCGCCCTAATATATAGCTTATAAATAATTTATTTAAAAAAAAAGTTATTTCTATATTTTTAATAGTTATTAACCTATAAGGGTTAATTACTAAAATTTAATATATTTTAAGGATTAAATAGAATATTTATTAGTATATATAGTTAAAGAGGAATAAATAATTAAAACTTATTCTATTAATTATTTCTAAATTCCCTTAAAAACTACTAATACTAATTAGTCTAATATAAAAAATAATATAGATAATAAAGATAGTTATTCTACTAGTATAAATATCTTAGCTAAAAAAGTTATTAAAATAGTTAATTAGCTTTAAAACTTTATTTATTATTATTTTAATAGAAATTATTTTAATAAAAACTAGTATTATATTAACTTTAAAAATATACTAACTTATTATCTAATATATATTATTTTTATATTAAATTGCTATTATAATTATAATAGATATCCTATTATATATTTTTCTTTAACTTAATTATATATAAAAATAATAATAAATTAGTCTATTTTATAGGTTTTAGAATATCCTTTTTAAATTCTAGATCTAAATTCTTTTAAGCTTAAGTAACTTGCTAAAAAATACTTTTAAAGTTAATATCTTTAATATAACTAATTATCTATTAAATATAACTAAATAGCTCTCTCCTATTATATATATTTGAAAGTAAAAACTATTCTAATATAAATAAGTTAAAAGCTTTAAAATAAAATAACTTAAAGTATTTTATAAGCTAGTTAATCTATTCTTTAATATTAAATTAAATAAAGGGTAAAATATTCTAGTTTTAAAAGTTTTAATATATACTAAATTAAGATACTACTATATAGGTAGATATTAAAATTAGTTTTAATAATCTTTTTTCTCTTAATATAAATAAAGTTTTTAATTTACTTTATAAAGAAATAAATATTTTAATAGTAAATATTTTTACTATTATATACTATAGGCCCTAAGCTATAAAATATAGGGAATTTATTATTAAAAATTTTTATATTTTTTAGTTTTTAATAACTAGAACTAATATTGCTAGCTATATTAGCTAGTCTTTAATTACTAAGTAGTCTAGGCAGTCTTAAAGGTTTAAGAGGACTTTATCCTCTTATTTTAATTAATATTACTTATAGCTCTACCCGCTAAGTATTTATAAATCCCTAAGCTATATTAGTTAAAGGATTTAGCTAATTATTTAAATAGTTCTATAGTTTTATTAGTTCTTTATAAATTCTTTTATTAGTAGTAGTTACTAATAATAAGTATTTTTTAGTTAATAATAAACTTAATTCTAGTAAGGATAATTATAATATATTTAATAGTATATTTCCTATAGACAAATAATTTATTATTTAAAATAGTTAATAAAAAGCTTTAGTCTAGTTTTAAAAGCATTTTTTATCTTTATAAAAAGTACTTTTATTAATTATCTATATAGATAGCTAAAGCTTATTATTATTATTAAAATTAAAAGAAACTAATCTTAATTAAGAACTTTAACATAGATTAGTAATTAATATTAGTATAAGCAAGTATAATAATTATAATTTTCTATTAATAATATATTAAATAACGCTAAGTATAACTAGATTAAAAGCATCTATATAATAGTATTCTATATTTAAGAAGTCTTTAATCTAGAACGCTAATTATATAGTTTCTTTATTAATAGAAACTAGAATAAAAGTAGCTAGTTAATTTTATAAATTAAAATAAAATAAAGGTAAAAGAATTTTAATAAAGTTAATAAAAGTCTTAAGTAATTATTTTTAAAAAAGGTATACTTTTATTACTTTAATATTTTTATTACTTTAGTATTTTTATTACTTTAGTATTTTTATTACTCTAGTGTTTTTATTACTTTAGTATTTTTAGAAGGCGTCTATATTACTTAGTTAAATACTATTATAATAATAGGTAGTAATAGGGGATAAATAAACAATATATTCTAAGCTTAAATATAAGGATATAATAGATAAGTATCTTTTTTAATATTATTAATTAAAGTCCTTAATAAAAAGGAAAAACCTTTTATTATTCTAGATAAGTATTTTAAAGTTTTAGGTAGTAGAATTTAATAAAGGTAATTAAAAAGCTAATTAATATAAAAGCTAGTTAATTTAAAAGCTAGTTAATATATATTAATAAAGTATATACTAGAACTTTTTAAAGGTCTAGAACACTGTCTAAAGTACTAGAATATAGTAGGTATATACTACTATTTAATAAGAACTAGATTTATAAAGTAGAAAAAGTTTATATTTCTAAGTACGGCAAGAGCCACTTTCTAAAGTACTATTTTACTTATACTAATATAGCATCCTATATATATTATGCCGCACTCTAACCTAATCCCTAATAATAGCTATATAATAACTTATTATAATATATTATATATATAATATACTTAGAAATAATATATAGTAGCTATATTAATAATTAAAGCTAAATATATAATATTTTATAAAAGAAGTAAATTTAGTATATAATCTTTATAATAACTTAATAAAACTAGTTTTAATAAAAAATATTTTATTTTATTAAGAAATAATAATTCTAAGAATATTACTTTTATTAAAAACTTTAAATTTTATTAAAAAATAAAGTATATTATTATTTAGTATTACTATATTTATAAATATATAGAAAAAAGTCTTTTAAAAGTAGAATATATTAATATAAAAGACTAATTTATAAATATATTTACTAAGCTACTAAATAAAGATTATTTTAAGTATTTATAATTAAAATTAAACTTCTTATTTATTATTTAAAAAGTAGTTTTAAGAAAAAGTATTATAATTATATAATTTAAGCCTTAATAATAAATAGTTAGTATATTTTATTATTAATTTACTACTAAAGTAAATTACTATTATATAAATATAAAGCTTAGTAATAATTATTAAAAATTAGTTAGCTATATACCTATAAGGCATATTAAGCTATATATATATAAACTAGTTGTTGTTAGTTAATAGTTGTTCCTTTAATATATAAAGATTTATGAGTTGCCCCGGACAATAGTTATTCCGCTCCGTATCGCATAGTTGCAACACCTATAGGCTGAGAAATCCGATCTGGGGGTTGATCCGATATGGGGGTGAGCTCTTCTAGGCATTCTTTCGGGCCGAAGGCTTAGATGCGGCAGACGCAGGGCTTTGCTACCTAAAAGATCTAATAGGTAGCTTGACTTGGCCTCGTCAATGTCCTGTCTTTCTTACTGTAAAACACTGCTCTCACAGGACTATTAATACCGTTGCTTTCGAGGACTTGCATTCTCGAATTGACCATCTTGGCCTGCAGTCGAGTTACATTGTGAAAAGATGGCTTCAGGATATGATAGAGCTCTCTCAGGTAATTCTGCAGCGGGAGAAGGCTTTGATACTTCTACTGACATAATTTTGTAGTCTTCAGGTGTGCTACGAGAGGATTCGCGCAACAAAGTCGTTATTGCTTACGTCTCACAGTCCAGATGGCCACGTCTTCCAGGTCGAATATGCACTTGAGGCGGTCAAAAGAGGTAGATCTTAGGTCTAGAAGCTGGCCCTGGTATGCCATTGACGCAAGATAGGTACTTGTGCCGTTGGTGTGAAAGGACAAGAGATCGTAGTATTGGGCTGCGAAAAACGATCTGCCATGAAATTACAAGATACTCGGATCACACCGTCAAAGATCGGAGTGATAGACACACATGCTTGCCTGGCCTTTGCCGGCTTGAACGCTGATGCTCGAATATTGGTGGACAAGGCGAGGGTCGAGGCACAGTCTCATCGCCTTACGGTCGAAGACCCGGTAACAATCGAGTATATCACGAAATACGTTGCTGGAGTACAGCAGCGTTACACACAGAGTGGCGGAGTGAGACCATTTGGTATAAGCACCCTGATAGTAGGGTTCGACAAAGGCGACAAGACGCCGCGCTTGTACCAGACCGAGCCATCTGGTATCTACTCCGCCTGGTATGTTTCGAATTGCCGGGCCCTGCCTTGGGTCTTTTGCTAACGCTTGGATCAGGAAAGCCAATGCGATAGGAAGGTCTAGCAAGACCGTAAGGGAATTTTTGGAGCGAAATCATAAAGAAGGCATGGACAGAGACGATACAATAAAGCTGACGGTGAAGTCTTTGCTCGAGGTAGTCCAGACAGGCGCAAAAAATATTGAGATAGCCATCATGGTGCCCGGGAAAGCGATTGAGATGCTACCGGTAGAAGCCGTGGAGACGTTTGTGAAGGACATTGAAACCGAGAAACAGGAGGAAGCAGCCAGGAAGAAGACGAGCAGAACGCCAGGTACAGCTTCAGCCGCCACACTAACGAGGGACGATGGTGCAGGACCGTCTAGCTAATGAAGTAAACTAATGAAGTGGCAGTTGCCAATGACCACCCTGTTTTCATTTGAGAACGACCACATCAACCATTGCGGCATGTAGCAACGGACAATCTAAACGCAGATATACTTCTGTCGTAAGGCTTGCTTCATTGCTCTGAGCAATGTTGTCTGAGATTGCTATGCTATGCTAAATTGGTCGTTCAGGGGTGCAGTAGGTAGAAAGCGTCCTGAAGTGAATTGGGAAGCGACTGCTACAGCTACAAAGCCGATGCACTATTCCGAGAGAGGCGCATCTAATGTTTGATGTCGCTTCTTGAGGCTTGTGGTGGTGTAATATATGGGTCTGCCTTTCATGGCAGTCAAGTCTCTCTCGAGACTCTTGGGGTGTTCATCAACCGGGCACCTTTCTTGTGCAGACCTAGGCAGGTGTACTTGACTATCCTAGTCTTTCAGAAGCCCCTTCCACGTCCAGTATTGAACTCGGCTGATCCGTACGTAAACGATCGTCGCGCAACATGCGAGAGTCAACACGGGCATCCTCCCCTTCCACGTTCAAGGTAGATTTAGGCGTCTGAGCTTCGAGAACATAATGATTATCACAGTGCGGGCAGTATTCATCACTTAAGAATTGATCAGCGTTCGTCAGAGTACCTATGTGCTCGTAATATCACAACCTTTCTTCATATGCTTCAATGTCTTTCCGGAAGCATTTTCGGCACTTTTTGCAAGCAAAAGTCTATGTGACTATATCAGGTCTAATCTTCGCTGTACCCGTGTTCGTCTCTACTCACCATATCGGTCTTCTGCTGCAGGGGGTGGGATTCTCGCTCCTGATGGCATTCTGCGCAGTCATACCATTTCCGACCTGAAGGCTGGTGTGAGAAGGATGACTACTCGTGAACAAGGCGTGTCATACAGCACGGCGCTCTTATAGAGACTTGAGCATTAAGTATATGCTTGCTGCTAATACTGAGCCAGCTGCATTACCACAAGGTCAGGTACCTTCTTACCACATAGCTTCAGAGTCGCAATGTGTTCGTGATCTCCTAGGAATTGAGCGTCGGACGATTCGGCCTACCTGTAAAGGCTGTAAAGGTACCTCAATGCTTCGAGGGGCCGGATAGCCCCGCGTTCTCCGCTTCCGTCCCCCTAGGGTTGGCCAGTAGAAGCTAAGCAATACGTACCGATGAGTGTGATCGTACTTCCAGAAAGAGTGGTTTATTCAGAGGTCGCTACAGCGGCCAAGTATGAGGTGGGGCTCCAGGTCTTTTGTACAACCAGAATACTCTTGCCAATAGGGAGACGGTCCTTGGGTCAGTAAAGTTTTTTGAGGAACAATGAAGACACAACGTCCAGCTTCGTACAAGTTAGAAGTTTCGCCTGGCAATTCAGTATCTCACTGGACCTGGCCTCTTGAACCAATCGGAAAGTCGTCCATAAGGGGTAGTCTTAAATGACGTTGGACTGCGTCTAGTGATCAATCCTCCTGCCACGAGTTGCATATACATCTCATCCTTACCCTTGAGAGTGATATGGAAAATCAGAATGGGACAGATGGCACACACACCGTAAGCAACGACTCAAATCGATATATACACATACGCTGATTTGTTTGCCCTTACGCAGAAGCCTGTTTCATCGCTGAGGTCTCATTTCGAGCAAATATCTTACACTGATCCGAACTCGCCCTTGAATCTTACTCAGCTTCCGCAGGGCAAAACTTCAGGTATTCGCATTGGCGGTAGTCAAGATCAGCAATCATCTCAGAGACCTCCGAACAGACCTCGAAGCCCCCTGTTGCATCCCCCTCTACCAGTGTTAGGCCATCGCAGGCACAAAGTCCCAGAGTCCCGCCTCGGCCCCTCAGTGATCCTCCATCTCCACAAATATATGCTTTGGGAAGTCGGGATATAAGACACGAAAGTAAGCATCTGGATGGAGTGGGTACCTCATCCCCATCGAGAAACGTCGAGATATTCTCTCGAAGTTTTGAGTCTTTACCAAGCAACAACCTCAGTAATAAAGTGGCGCAGGTCGATGACGGACCGGGAAAAAATCTCAATTTGACACACGACGCTACCGCACCTGAACATCTGTCAAATTTGACAAAATTTCGGACATCAACGAAAACCGGAGAAGAGCAAGAAAGATCTCACAACCAACTCGAAAGCGGGCCTTCGGTTGAGACTCCAGAGTCTGTTGGGCGTATGATGCCACCTCCAGTCAACCGTGCGGATAAGCCAAAGGTCTCACTCAAGCCGGTCACGGTCGGCCGAAGTCCTAGATTAAGACCGTCTTCCCCTTTCATTGATAAAAAGGTTTCTCCATTCAGTACCCCGCCTAGCAGCGACGAAAGTTCTGGATCACAGTCGGCTGTGCAAAACTTCGTTAGCCCCAAACCGCGAACAACTCAAATCGTTGATCAGCCTGCAAATGCCAGACACTTGGACGACGGATCGCGTGGAGAAGTCAGCTCCAGAGATCGGCAACGAGTGGATGCCAGGGCTAAAGGTTTCAGCCAGTCTGCGCCCAAAACAGCACGACCTATCGACGAGAGACCAGCGTTACCACTTCGGAAAAAAAGGGGAACCTGTGAGACCCTCCTCAGACCTTAATGATAGATCCAGTGTAGCCTATTCGATGTCTTCGGCCAAAAAGCCAGTAATGGCCGTCTCCAAAGCGCCATCCTCGACAACGGAATTTTCACAGAAACGGATAGTTTCACACGACTTTGTGCGGGAGACGCCAAGACATATGCCCAACCGGTTAGATGAGCAAACAAGGCAACTCCCTATCTCTACTATACGACAGGAGATAGGCTCTTCTTTCAGTGCCAGCACAACTAATGATGCAGGGTTTCCAGATATTTCAGAGGTGAATAGACGCTTTCCGTACTGCCAAGCTGGTGCTAGAGCAATCGAACTTGGCGAAGACTTCAAATTAGTCGATCTGTGTGGTAGGTACGTCTGTGTCGTAGGGCAGACTGTGAAAGTGTGGGATGTCGTCACTAGTGAGATCTTGTTGAGCCTGAGCTTTACCGAGCGAGAGCTGAGGATTTCCTCTCTGGCCTTCAAACCAGGTGCCAAGTCCAACGACGAAGGCTTACGGCTTTGGCTGGGAACAAATACTGGCGACCTCCAGGAACTTGACATTCTAAGCCAACGTATAGTTGCTACAAAATCAGGCGCTCATGAAAGACGCGAAATAGCCAAAATTCATCGTCATCAGAATGAGTTCTGGACTATTGATAATGGTGGGAAGCTTTGTGTTTGGCCGGGTGATGAAAATGGAATGCCAAACTTACAAGGAACACACAATTCTCACCCGGTTCCTAGAGGTCATACTTTTTCAGTGATAATTGAAGATTGTCTATGGCTTGCTTCTGGCAAGGAAATAAGCATCCTTCGGCCGAACGCGAGTGACGGCTTGGCTTTCAATGTGTTGTCAACGCCGCTGATACAGCCTCAACTAGGTTCCATTACCTCAGGTGCTGTCATCAGTACACAACTAGACCGGGTCTATTTTGGTCATGCTGATGGAAAGATATCGCTCTATTCTACTCAGAATTACTCATGTATAGGTACTGTCAGCTTAAATGTCTATAAAATCAATTCCCTTGTTGGCGCCGGTTCTCAACTCTGGGCTGCATTCAGTATAGGCACCATCTGTGTTTATGACACAAGTACAACACCATGGAGAACAAGAAAGGGTTGGCTTCCACATCAAGGCAACCCAGTAATTAGCCTTTCGGTCGATCGTAGCAGCTTGTGGAAGACTGGTGTCCTTCGTGTAGCAAGTACTGGAGCCGACAGCAATCTAAGATTCTGGGATGGGACGCTGCGAGATGAATGGATCGGTAAAAAACTCTCATGTGATATCTGATTTACCTTTAGCCTAATGTGTCTTTAGACGATGCCATGCGGCAGCATGAGGCTGACTTCTGCTCTTTCCGCGAGGTCTCTGCTCTGGTGATGACCTGGAACGCGGGCGCCGCAACACCGAATCATCTTCGACAGGACGCTGCCGAGTCTCGGTTTTTCCAACAAATGCTTAACCAAGGGCCCCTACCTGAAATACTAATTTTTGGGTTTCAAGAGCTCGTCGATTTAGAGGATAAAAAACTCACAGCCAGTAGGTAATACTAGGCTCACTCAAAGTTTGATCTGATAATCTGCAGAGACCCTGTTCAAAGGCAACAAGAAAAAAGACCCAGCAGAGCAAGATCATATGAGCCGCCAATACCGAGCGTGGCGAGATTATCTTGTGCATTGCGTTGACGAAGCCGCTTCCAACAACGAGCCGTACCAGCTTCTTCACACTGCCAACATGGTAGGTCTCTTCAGCTGTGTTTTCGTGAAGGCCAACCAGCGAGGTCGTCTTCGTGATATTGGCACTGGTGAGTTGAAGCGTGGAATGGGCGGCCTTCACGGCAACAAGGTTTGACGCCATGGGTTTCATCTAAGGTAGTTGGCACTGAACTGACTGTGGCTAAGGGTGCCTTGATGTTCCGCTTCGTTCTGGACGATACTTCAATTTGCTTGGTGAATTGTCATCTTGCTGCAGGTCAGACGCAGACCAGCAGCCGCAATAGCGACATAGCTGCTATCATTGAGTCAGAGGTCCTACCGGGCAACAGGGAGGCAAGTCCTCAGGGTGATACGTTTGTTTGTGGTGGTGACGGGTCCATGATTTTCGATCATGAGATTTGCATCTTGAATGGAGATCTAAACTATCGTATCGACACCATGGGACGGGATACAGTTATCAAAGCCGTGAAAAGCAACAATTTGGACAAATTGTTACAGAGAGACCAATTGTTAGTATCGCAACGCAGAAATCCAATGTTCCCAGTGCGCTCTCTCCGAGAAGCATCAATAACATTTGCACCCACATATAAATACGATGTAGGGTCTGACGCTTACGACACAGGCGAGAAGCGCAGGGCTCCAGCATGGTGCGATCGCATTCTGTGCAGAGGCGGTGATAAGATTCATCAGGCAGACTACAGACGACATGATCTGCGCGTCTCTGATCACAGACCCGTCACTGGTCTTTTCCGCATAAAAATCAGAAAGGTTGCTGCATCGGAGCGAGGTTTGGCCCGTGAACGGTGTGAGGAAAGATTTCAGGGCTCAAAAGAAGAGCTGACCACGATCGCGAAGTAAAGCACCCCTTTCCTCGCCGTTGCCAATGCTCATGCTAACGTTACAATATTGTAGAGTGGAATATCTGAGGGACGTCCTGGGTGTTCCTTTGAGCGAGGCACAACGCCTTGTATGATAGTGAGAGCTCTTTTGGTAGGCCAAACACGCCGACAAGACGTTGCCGGGACACGACCGTGCTCCTACATGCACGATCGGTTAGGCTCGCCTTCATCTGCTCCCTCGAGCTATCAGTCAGGACCATCAGTGAGCGTCTTAGCCTGTCTTCTCCGACTTGATTTCTCCCTTCGTTCACATGGAATGTGACAGCAGATGTTTCGTATTGAATCCTTAGGCCTTTACGTTGTGGTGGCAAACCTCCGAGCCACGGATATGAGTACGGCCGAGCGACCCAAGCTATGCGATCAGAGACCTCGCTTACATGACGATAGAAAAGTAATGGACTATGGCACAGCGAAAGGTGTGTTACTCTCGCGAGATCTTTCTTCCCTCGGTGGCCTGACATGCATAGTGTGCAAAGGTGCGGTGATTGAGCAACTGTTCAAGCAGTGTAAAGAAGACTTCAGGAAAGATTGGAATTGAGAATGACAGGTGGGAAGCCATTTGCCTACGTCAGCCTTGCCCATGTCGATCAATCGCCAGTTCTTTGGACTCCTTCACCGTCATGTACCCTATTGAGGGTACATGGGACGTTAGTACCCGGCTTTTAACTTATGTTCATCCTTGGCTCTCAGGCCAGGGCTTAACCGGGACTACGTCAAAGTCTGCATGAAGTCTGCGCCCAAATCTGGTGGACCTTGCCTGGACAGCGGCTTCATTCTGCCGCCGGTACCGTCGTCACAAAGATTGTCAACTTTATGCGCCTTCTCTTCTAACTAAAAAGCTAGCTTTCGAACTCAAATCAATACATGTGTATACGCAATGCATGAGCAAATTGAGCCTGACCTTGTTATGTGCAAAATCTGTGCTAAAGATCAATGTCCTACCTTCAGCTTTAACACTGAGTTACACCTTAGTCACGTTGAGCTTTTGCACTCGCTTCCCTCAGGATTATGATTGGCCTAGATCTGTACGTACAAGCCCGCACAAGCCGTTCGTTACAATAATTAATCCTCTTTCACGAATGTAATTCAGGGACGCCCTTAATACGCGATCCTTCTGCAGCAACTCCATTGAAGCTTCCAAGATTGCCTATTGAAGCTGAGCATCGCTGATAGAGAAATCCACTGTGGCGCTCTGAGCTATCTATCAGCAAAAAGAGAGCTGAGAGTGACCGCATGATTCAGGTCTTATGGCAATGGACCTCGGCAGGTAACAGTCCCTGGTGAGTCGTGCAGGGCGTCAACATTTGCTGCATCGCGTTAGCCATAGGCGACCGTGAGCTGTCCCGCCCATCTTGGCAAGGTTATCATTGAACGCCATGCTGTAATCGGCCAAGACAAGCAATTCTGCGGGCGAAACGCGCTTCTTGAGCCTGGGCTATCCCTGAAATGCCAGGCGGTCTGGACGGATGGGGAGGTCTTTACTCAAGGTGTTCTTAAATGAGTTGTTGCAGCTAACAATTCATGGAAAAACACTTTTGACTAGAGACTGAATAATTGTGTTCTAGGGAGTGGTATCACTTTTAGATACTCTTGAATTAGACCGATGGAGATGTGTGCGTCGGTGCATCGCGATTGTGCCAAGTTGTGAGCAAGGCGGCCCCTTTTGGAAATCGGGCTTAGGTTGCACCAGTTGTAGGCACTGGCGAGGGTACTAGGTAAGCGTTAGGGAGTCCTAAGGGAGTTTTTTGGGAGGGAGTCGCGTATATTTCATCATGTACGCTGTACACGGTAGAACTATGCCGTTGCAAAGCGCGGAACCGGATCCGGGAAGCCCCACCTCGCCGCCACGTCTAATCGATTCCTATCATCTGTCTTACCTTACCAGCTACGAACCACGACTCGGAGCCTGACTCCTTACCACCTAGCCTTCGGTGGCACCGATCATGCCTCGCTCGGAGGATATTGCCCACGGCCGTAGCCACGAAACCTCTCCAAACCCCTTCGTTGCCTTCAAACGGTTCGCAGATGAACAGTTCACTTCCTTGATGAACACAGCTGTTGGCTCAAATCCATTTACCATCAGCCCTCCCATGTCGTTCGAAAACTTTAAGAAAGATTACGACTCTTGGTTGAAAGAATCCGGTGAGCGCGAGACCAGACTTCGTACTCAAGGCCAGCATGCAGACGAGCTTCCTCGCCAAAGCTGTCTGTATAGAGAGACTGAAATGGAGAAGCTCTCAGCGTCAGAGACTGACGATTTATGTGCATTCCTAAATCACGAATCTATAGAGGCTCAACGGCGGCACATGACGGCTACGCAGCCTACCTTTGGAACACTCCAAGCGATGCCAATGTTCTACCTCTGTCACAGCGGCTACTCGCCGATTCACTTAGAGACGCAGCAACCATTCAGCAATCGTGGCTTGCTTTGGAGAGCTGCCTTTGAGGATCTCATCAGGATCACTCATGATATACCCGTGCTTTCAAACCCAATTCAGGCTTCGAGCGGTCGAGAAGATCCTCATATTTGGGTCCAAACCATGACTCGAATTGCCGAAGCCGATCAGACTCGGCGGAACGTACTAACACAGCGAAGTCAAGTTAAGCAGGACGCCCATTCCACTATGTATGGAACTGCGCACGGTACTACTTATGCTTCAGATCGCTCTGATGGCTCAATCCATAAACCCGGCGCCAGTGCCAGTGCTAGTGAAACTGATCTCTTCCACAGCTTGTTAAGACTAATAAGAGGTGTTCCTACTACAAGTGTGCGAGAAGATTTATCGAGACAGATAGAACGAATTCAAAGGCCCAATGCAGAAGACGTGGAAGGTGCTCGTGCAGATTATGCTTACGACGACGATGATGACGATGATGATGACGATGAAGACGGAGATGAAGATAGAGTCGACGACAGCTTTGAAAACGAGGACGGCGAAGATCTCGATAAGTGTGACACGGAGCTAGAATTGATTGAGAGATGTGCCGAGAGGGGTTTTCTACCATGCAAAAGGTCGCATGCCCACTCTTTTGCTCCTCGCCACGAAGACAGCGCCACTTCGTCGCAAGCCGCTATTATGCCCAGCGTCTTGTCTACCCTCACAACTCGCGAGACGATTAGACAGCCAGATGGGACCATAATATCCCGGATCGTGCTTAAGGAACGTTTCGCAGACGGCCAAGAGAAAAGCACCGAGACTGTTCACCGACAAAATGCAATACCACCGTCACCCGAGCCATCCTTAATCGAAGCAGCCAGGCCGCAAGAATGTCCCCAAAAAGATATTCAGAATAAGAAGACCAGAGGTAGGAGCGGCTGGTTCTGGAACTAAATGCCACCTTGAATCCCCGGGTCCTCTCGGTTCTTCGAAAGGATAGCGATTGACCACATGATGCAATCAGCGACGAGTCTTGGGCTTTAGCAATGGGCATATGGCCTTCACCCCTGCTTCATGTTGTGTTTTTGGGGGCGTCCCATTTCCACTCAATGAGCTATGCTTTCGGCATTTGCCTCTCTTCAAACTTTGTCTAATTTAAGCGAATGGAGAACTTTCACTCCCGGCACATGTTCAGCAGGACTCATGTCGCAGTCATAATGCTATTCCTAGTGTGGCTTAACAGAAGACTACTACCTAGACAGTCCCGTTTCCTTTACCGTTAAAAAGCTGATTCAGGTGGTTTGCCGCATGCTTCTGTCCCTTACGTACAAGAAATTAAGCCTTTTAGAAGACTATCCCATCCCTCTGCTGTATGCTCGTCACTAGCAAGAGCGCTTCACCCTGAATGCGTTATTAGGTAGTTAGCTTGTAATTTGACAGAGATCATTGTTTCATAAGCCGAGTGGCCTGAAGGCTGGCTTTATGCTCCCTTTATCACGTGTAGACTTGAGGCCGCCGTTCGATCCTGCGAGACCATTAGCAACACGTTTCTCCAGAAGTCGAGAAGAGAACCAAGCAATTCACGCAACGCATGTCGTAAAATCCAAATTTCACCATTCTATCAGGACGCTGCGACGTGGCGGTGAAGTAGATGTCGGCATTGATCATTTCGGCCGTCTTTGCCTCGAGCTCGTACGGCGCAACCAACCATCGAGATGCATATCTGTTATTAAAAGCAACCTAGCAGACATCCAACGGTCTAGACTTTTGGCCTAGTGGTTGTCAACAATATCGGAGTATTTCTTTCAGGGGGCGAACGAGGATGCCATCTCGGATCGTATTACCATCAGACCAGTGCGCTGCATTCTCTAGCTTCCGTCCGCTTGCGCTTCCAGGAGGGTGGCGAGGCTTGATGGCTTCGTGATCAAAGCGGCAGCTTCCTCCGGGGCCATCAGGTATAGTCTGCCGGTCCATGAGTGTGGGCTGCGGCTTGGGTGAGTGCTTCGGTCACGATGGCTGGTTGGGCATATTCGACGCTGAAGCCTAAGTGGATTGAAGGAGGCCTATTGGATATGTCAGCTAAGATCGAGGCATCATGAGGAGAGAGTATCAGCAACTAAGTAGACGTATAGATTGTGTAGAATGACGACGCAGCAGCGAATGTTCTTTGCAGCATATCTGAGGCAATGCCGCCTTCCTCGAGTTTATATTCGTTCACTGTTGCCACGACTCCTTTCTCTTTGATTCCGTCTTGAAAGATGGCCAGGAAGTCTCTGTAATGCTTCCGACGCCCAAGAAATTGCGGGATTGCTTTCGTCATGCAGGTCGGTGGGCAAAGGAGCCGTTGACAGCTTTCATTAGCATCGTATTGCTCCTATACCTAGGTGGCATTCGCCCTCAGAGCGTAAAGGGTGAGGAGGTGATAGGAAATATGATTATGGAATTCTTCGGAGTTGAAGAACATACGGCAGCTATTATGATCTACCTCAAGACCTTGGGGAAGTCTATCTGCAACTTTCTCGGTGATATCGGGAACGTGATATGTACCTCTATTATCAAGAGAGACTTTGATCCGAGTAATTTCTACCAGTCCCCAAAGCAGCGTCATTTTGTCTGAAATTGAAATTTCGTGGCATTGAATGCTATGTGAGCTTTGAGCCTTTTGAATTGCTAGACCCTTTCTATTTACAACAAGGAGGTAACGTCTAACGGATTGCGGACGGGGACCGTTCTATCAAAAGAGCAGAGGATATGGTCGACACACCGTTGATCAATACCCACGAGGCCATGCTTGCAAACCTGTTGAAAGGCTAAATGACTAGCTCTGGGCTCACCCAGAGTCTGGCTGACAAAAGCAATCGCGGAATTGAGAATCAAGCCAAAAAAATCCGAACAGCTGGAAGGAACACTCGGTACTTTCTCTGGTTTCTAATCGGATGCGGAAATGCGACATGCCGAGACTCGTAAGATAATCTTACCCTTCTCAACGCTAGGTTGATCAATCAATGACCTTGCGAGCACATGAAAAGCTTGCCCAATCTCAAGTGGCCAAAAGCCGCAGAAGGAAGAAGAGGTGGAGCACTCACATGTTCAATTACCTGCAATCACAACGAAAACAAAATGGAAAACTTCAGCTCAGAAACGTGCTGAGATATCCACAATGTGCATTTAGGGAACATGACATGCTCTAATCATGCTCTTCGCCCAAAGTTTCCGTCCCCGCCGCAGCTCCATCGTCAAACCATCGTCACGTAGGCACTTTGCCGAAATCACGAGAGAACTGCTCGAATGTCATTGCATATCGAGCCTCTCTTTCTTTCGTTTTTGTTGCTCTTTGGCGAATTTTCTGAAAAGTGGGTTTGACTTTCCCTTAAGCTCCTTGTTACGGCTCTTGTTGTATTCGATATATGCCATGTCTTGGCCTCCACTGAGGTCACTAAGCATGCCAGCCGTTCGCTTGGCTCCTTTCTTTGCCGCATTTAGTGACTTGTGTTTTCCATTGTCTTTGTTGGTGAAGCGGGACCAAGGGTCGTCGTCAATGCTCTCGGCTTCAGCAGCAGTCTCGTTCTGCAACATGACCTCCTGTAGCAGTTCCCGCCGTTCAGCAGGTGACGAGTACGCCAGATTGGATAGGTTCTCGATTCCCTGTAGATGAGTGATGACCTTAAAAGCGTATCCTTGGTCTACAAGGAAGGCTTGACGTTTTGACGAGTAATACATCTCCTGAGTATCTTTGGAAACTAGGGAGTAAAAGAATGCATTGAAGCCTTCGTCATTTCTTCGCTTGGCTCGAAGTATTCTGCCAAGCCTTTGGGCCTCCTGCCTTCGAGAGCCGTAATGAGAGGAGATTTGAATCAAGCAAGTTGCCTCCGGCAAATCCAGCGAGGTGTCCCCAATTTTGGAGAGAAACACTGTGTTGACCAGTTCGCTGTGTTGAAAATTTTCCAAGACACGTAAACGCTCTGTCTGAGGAGTGCCACCATAGATGTAGAATTTCTTTAGTTTCAAAGCATAGGCTTTCAGCGCAAAGACGTTGTCCGAAAATACAATCACTTTGTCGCCTCGTCTTTCGTGATAGTCGATGAGAAATTGGCAGGCTTGAAACTTACGAGGGTTCATTATATAAAGCAATTGTCTCTTTTTCGACTTTTCTCGCAGATACTCCTGGTAGAACTCTGTAGTCATGGGGCACCACACTTCAGCGCATTGCACCTTAGCAATATGCCCTTGATCGGCAAGCTCCATCCAATTAGCCTCATAGAGCTTGGGCCCGATCAAAAAATTGAGATCTTTGATTTTGTCATCTTCTCTAAGCAAAGTCGCCGTTAGGCCAAGCTTGGAATGAGTTGCAATTGCGTGGGTAACCCTCCTAAAAATCGAGGCGGGAACCACATGTACTTCATCGAGAATCATCAAACCCCACTCGCGGCTTTTCATGAAATCCATCATCTTCGCCGAGTCATGCGATCGTCTCACTGTCTGGGTTACCATAGAATATGTCGAGACAATGATGCCCGTGTTTCGAGAGAATTTCTCTTTATGGTCCGATGTAAAGATTGCTATATCATTGGGACTGATGTTCGACCACTTCAGAAACTCATTTCTCCACTGCACGACGGACATCGAGCTTGTGCACAGGATGACAATGCCTTTTCTGATTGTACATGCAGCGGTAATTCCGACAAGGGTTTTGCCTGCTCCACAAGGCAGGACAATAATCCCGCTTCTTGCGCGACCGTTGCTGAACATCTTGCTCAGGCTTTTCTCCTGATAATTTCGAATGGTGGTACTAGGTTTTAAATCGATATCTAAATTAGGGTTGTCGTTGTCATTCTTGAAATCATATTCCTCTAGTACAGGATATTCCATCTCAAGGCACCGTTTTTGCACCGTCTCGACATTATCTCTGGGGATCTCGATAGAGTGAACGCTGATTTCCTCTTCCTCGTCGTCATCGTCATCATCGACGCGAATTGCATCCAATAGCTGAGTCTCGCGATTCGCCACGTCCTGGGGGCCTTCGATGGCAAATTTATCCTGTTGAGGGCCAGACTGCTGCTTGAGCCCAGCGGCATCCTTGGTGCCAGGGATCACGAGTCCGCCCACTTGGGGTGCTTTCTCAGTGATGACATCATTCTGATCCAGACGCTGGGAACTAATGATTGGATCTTGTAGGAGTTTTTGGAGGACTTTGTTATCTGGTGTCTCCAGAAAATAGCGATTGTCTTTCAGCACCAATTTGACTTTTCCAAATGCCTTCGTGCACTCTAGAATGAACGTTCTTATCTCGTGAGGTAGAGGGGTTTTTGACATTCGATCAAGAAAATTGATGATGTCTTGAGGGATGAGGCCAACTGACACAGCAGCGTAGAGGCTGTGGACAGTGAGGGCGTACTCATGCAAGTGTTCGGGTCGAGACAGGGGCTCGGCGATGGTGGTTAAAAAATCTTGAGCCTGGGGCGCTATGGTGGACCAGCTCTCGAGTGTGATTTTGGCTTTATTGGCATCCACCCAAAGTGGACGATTCGGATGATCAAATTTCAAGGGCAAATATGAGAGGTTGCTCAAGCCGCTCTGCCTCACTTCTCTGTCCAGATTTTTCGAAGAGTCTTTGTTCTTCCTTTGAGTTGAATGCACAGAAAATCTTTCGCGAGCTTGCTTCAGCTTTTCTGTTTCACCTTCGCTGGCAACAGAGCCACCTGAATACTCATCATCGCTGCTCAAGCTTTGAGGTGTACCCGAGGTCGACTCCTGAGCTGCCCTTTTAGAGGATTTCAGATTGAAGTTGGTAGTTGCTTTGCGCTTTGGTGGCATTTTAACAATGTTTCTGTGCGGCAAATTGACATGTGTACCTAAGTGAAGTAAAGCTTCACTTAGGTATGTCGGCCAAGCTCAAACCCATCATTTCCTGGGCATCACCAAGACTGGTGAGACTCATCGCAAACGATATATTCACAATGTTGGTAGATCAGGGAAGGATGACACAGGCAGGAAGCATGAGCAACTATAGGTATGAATCATGAAACGGCCGAGGGTCGGTGTATCTGAACATTGCCGCGCCAAGTTATAGGCGCTAATTGGGGGCAAGGCAGCCTTATACAGCCCGCCTGTAGGTAGCTTTCCTAGGCAGGCCCCCTAAAACGCCCCCTAAAATTGGATTTGGCGCAGCAACGTTCAGATACACCGACCCTCGGGCCGTGACTCTTTGTCGTAAGCATAAGTGCTCTCCTAGTCCACCGTAATTTGCTACATTCAAAACTCCGTGAACTGCTTGGCGTGTCGATCAAGCCTACACATCACACACCCGAAGTCATTTTTTCACCCCTGTTAGAATTCTTCTACTACTATGAGGATTCTTTCAAGCTAAACAACTTTGATCATACAAAGTTGTATGAGAGAATCTCAACTTGACCCTGATCTTAAGACCAAGCCCAAATTCCTCGTTCAAGGACTACAAGATTCACAGGATTTCAGGTCGGGAAAAGTGGGTGTGCGGGCAGGCTTCTTCAATACGCCAAGCATTTCAGAGGGTTTTGAATGTGAGGTAGCAAATCTCGCCCTCTCCCGCCTCGTTTGTTGTCAAGCATCTTCGGCTGACCTCATCCTCGAAGTTCCCATCAGTTTTAGAATCGATCGAAATCGACCTACGGCCGTGCAGGATGAACACGGTACTAACGTGAGCCATGAAGTAATATTTGTCGCGCTAACAATGGCAGATTCGATCTACGTGGTACGTTCAGGGGAGGATGCAAGATATATCTAGCTGAGAATCACACAGGATAGGGTGGGGAACATTGATCGTTGGTTCGTATGCTTAATTGACTACTCACTCTTGAATGCTCACAATAACAAGCCGGCGGTGGAGCATATTTCTTTGCGAAGCGTTCTGTCAATGCCGACCGAGCAATCCGGCATGAAGAAGATATGAAGCGTCGCCGTCTCAAGGCCAACATTGAGGCTGATTATACTTCCAAGTCGACCCCATCAAAGAAATTGCATCGAAAAGCAAATGATCTTGCGGCCAGCCCCAATGTAGAAGCAAGCCATGACCCTACGCCCGCAGACAGATCAACTGATAATAGTGCGCAAGATGAAGTCGTGGGCAAATATCTTTCCGCAAGACCTTTCAAAGCAAAGAAGGGCGACAGATTCAGCTAATGAGTATGTGCGGAAGACGATATATTGTACTGGACGATGAATTCACCAACATAGGGCAAGATGGTCATCCTCGCAGGCTTAACACGTCGCTGAATATTATGTGTCTAGAATAATCAAAAACCTAAGGCAACCATCGGGATGCGCTAGGGCAATGGTGTAAAAGTGATCGACGTCTGCATTTACGTTATTCGGGGCTCGGGGCGTCCATCTAGAGTGGCCATTGGAATGAATCCCACGATATCAAGATAGTCCAAAGGGGTGTTGACGTCGATATATCACGTCCAGCTCAGTCTCGACTGACAGAGGTCCTTGGGTAGACCCTGGGAAGGCCCTATTCGCAGGTGTTCTTTCTGTTTGAAAACTTCACAGTATTGAACCACAACCCTTGAAGAATTGGAAGAGGCTTGACTTTTAGCAACCGCTAAATAGATCAATACGGAAGCTTGAAGTCGTCTGATCCGGATGTCATCGATAGGTTGGGAGACTCTTTAGCCGTTGAACACTTTTGATGGTATTGGTCGAACGCAACAGCAAGGACGATGCTGTCCAGATATAGTGCCAACATGATCCGCACCTCCATTAAGAAAGATCCTGGCTGCGAGCTTTCTATAAAGTACGATTGAGATATCCAAACTTAGATCAACTTTTGCTATCTATACGTTATGCTGAAATACTCTGATGAGCTAAGTAGTTATGCGTTGTCAGGTTGAATAAATGTTTAGCTCCGGAAAAAGGGTTATTCTGCGGAACCTTGGTACCGCCCACCGTTGCATTTTCTAATAGCTCAACGAACTCATCACGATCATCTACCCAAACCGTTCACTCACATCAATATGGCGTTGCACGCGCTAGCCATCGCAAGAGCCTCTTTCACTGCTAGCATGACGAAGCCCGACCCTACGTCATTAAGCCGGAGCGACACAATTAGCTTTCTCGACTCGCTTGAAGGGATGCTAAGACTCTGCTCGACACAGAATGTCCAGGTTTGATGGTCAACCAAACATGATAGATGAGGAGGCTAAAGGACCTTTGAGCTTAGCGTTGTAAAGACTGGCTTGTGCAGAATGTACTTCCCTCCGGCAACCGGCTCCCGACCCTTGGAAAATATATGTTAGCCCGTTCAGAGTCAATAGAGAAAACAACCGAAGGCAATGATGATGGGACGTCCATTAGTCCGTCCTGTTCGCCTCAACGAATGCAAATACACCTACTCTATCTGATCCATGATTTGTTCCACCATGCTGAATTCCACTCTGAGGAGTATGCAGCTGCGCCTCTTTCGGCCAAACTTCAATTTTATCTGAAATCTATTGTGAAGAGTGCGTCGGGGCCTGTCCGAAGCGAAGGCTCGCTTCATCAGCAGCGATTGCAACAGCTGCTCGGCTTTTGGCGGGAGGAAGGTTTCTTCGATTACCCGGCAATTCAAGAGTTGCATGAGATAGCAACAAAGGGCGGCCAAGGAAACCGGACCTCGAAAGATGAGTCAAAAGTAGCAAACGGTAATTTAGAGGATGACAGAAGTGCTCCCTATATCATGCCAGCCGCGCACGGTGATGGATCTATTGCATTCTACGATTTGCCTGCAAGCAATATGATGCCTCATATTGCGCCAAACTCAACAAGGCCAATCAAATCAAATCTTGTCAAACCGCTACAGCTAGTCTCGGGTGCTGCTGATAAGTACCTTGCAACAGCAGTAGAGTCTTTTTTACAGGAGATTGACTCACTGGATAACATCCGGCTCGAGGAACAAAGACAACAGAAAATCGATGTCGATCAATTGGGGCAGCTTACTGTTCTCGACGATACCAATGCAAGCACATCTCGTGCCGAAGGCTATTATGGCTGGTCTAGGGGCTTTTGCCAGATGATCAAACGAGGTGAAAGCATAGAATCGTTGCGCACCACTTCCTTTCCAGATGTAACGAACGGTCGAAGCTTGCAGCCTTCTCATGTAAGACGTCGGAGCTCTTCAAGAGATAGACTTTCCCGAAGCAGCAGCATTTCCCGGGCGCGTTCAAGGAGTCCTGGGCGCCAATCCAAGACTCCACGCAGTTCCTCGAGATCTTATTCACCTCCAGCAACCTTCCGAGGCCCAACTAGGGCGCAAACTTCTCGAAGCCCACCTTATGATCCTCGTCGTCTGATTCAGCCACACACACAATCCCTGGTCGTAAACCAGTCTCCGGGTCTGGTACTCTCAGTACCTACGCATCCCTTCCCATTTCGGACCGATGGTCTTGGTGTCCCACCAAGACCTCCCAACTATGGTGGACTATGGCCGCCTCCGCCTCCTCCGCCGCCTCCTCCACAGCATTAGGGCCACCCTCATTGAGCACTCAAAAATCTGCTATTGCTTTCATTCATGGCTTCAGTCACCAGCCTAGCAACTAGCCCACTCATCAACCCAACATGGCCGGTTTCCTAGAGTCCGAAAATAGAACTATGAAGACGTGCAAGCCCAAACTAAGGGGCTCTATGAGATGCACACAATCCTCCATTCCATAATCGGCAAGGATCCACTCACAAACGGACCAGCGGATAACACATGGCAAGGTGATTTAAAGCAGATCTCGACTTCTGAGGCATTGTGCTAGTCGGGCAAACTGTCGCATTAAATCTTGATCACACTCAATTCACTCAAAATACCTTCTCCGTTGCTCCAACCGTTTTACACCAAAATTGACGTCTCGATTTCTTACGCCGAAGTAACGAAATAGCTTACTTTTGAGCTAACGTACGATTTACAGGCCCCTGACTAAAACTGAGAACATCTAGGAAGGGAGTCATGTGCGGCTTCAATAGACACTAGCGAAAGTGTTCAAGTACATAGCTTGTCGCCTCAGGTCTTCGGTCAAGGGGGGTTCAAGTCGTCCCCTTGCATCCCACCCCATTACGTAAAAAGATATGTACCAACCTCAGGAGTGCCACGTCCACGCTTGTGAATGTGAAGGAAAAGTCATGGCTTGCAGCAATCGGATCCAAAAGTCGCTTCAGACAACTTGCCCATGAAAAATCCAACCAGGTTCTCGCTTCTCTGTTCTCTGCCAGCCTTTACATGCCTGACCTCAGGTATTCTTGCTTACGATATACTACTACTTAGGTAAAATAGATTGTGAGCTTTTTGATCGGCGGTATGCTTGTTACCAATTTCTCCAACGCTGACATCCTTTAATTGACGAATCTTACCTTCTCCTGGCGACCTGCGCAAAGTATAGACCAAGCCCGAAATGTCAAGCCCATCAAATTGACTCGATCCTAAACTCTCTAGCCCAGGCTATCCTAGCCTTCGCTTTCTAGTCGACATGAGCCCTGATGCTCTCCTACGTAAGACCTACATTGAGACCCACACGTTGCAAAGCTGGGGCCATTTTGGCCCCAATCCTGGGCTATTGTCTCGCTCTGCAAATTGGACAAATCTCTCACGTTCCCCTTTCTCACACTCTTCGGTGTCACATGAGATTTTGACCTGATATATGTCGTGCTTAGCAAATATTGAAGAAGCGATCGCTTTGATCGTTTCGCGATCCGGCCCCGACGAGTCACCCTGCTCGTCTTGACCTCTTTGGTCAGGCTGCAGACTTAGCGATGCATGCGATTCCCTCCCCACGTCTATTCAAGCCATCGTAATTCTTCAGGAAGTGCGTGGACTAATACTCGTGGCCTGATCAGCCGCACTATCAAGGTATTATCTTGACAGACGGTCTCTGGTGGGCTCGCCGAGTCTTCAGGATCTCATGTCATCAGGTCACGTTGTTGTGGAGCCCGCAAAATACTCCAGTTGCCATACAGCAATCTTAGGACGGACAGATACTGACTTGACCTTGAATTGTCCTCCTACTTTTTCAGCAGGAACCGTATGAGCGTCAACTTGCTTGTGGGTTTTCTCGCAACAAAGCGATCCATCAAAAGCCTGGTCCGTGAATGTCCATCAACCAGATCATAGAGGCATACTACTTTGCACTGCCGCCACAATATGTTCGCGAGCGTTTCTGGACCTCATGGAGTCTGACCGTCTCTTATCGGTCGAAAACAAATGTATCGTAGGTACTTCTTACAATACTAGGCAGGGCGGACAAGTGGCTTTCGCAAACACTACAGTCCCAAATGAGGAACATTCTGAACTGTCATTTGCATAGAATGCTTCATTTAGCCTGGTCCGCATGCCTCTGATACACTCGAGAATTTGCTCTAGTAATTCTACGATTCTTATTCGCGCACCAAATCAAGTTGGGCAGATCAGCTTGCGTTTTGCAACATCTTGATGACGCCTTTAGAATGTTGAATAGATGGAATCTAAGTCTGACTACTCAGTTGGTGTACAAAGATCTCTATACAGATGTTGTTATCAAAGCGGTAAGATCAACTTACATCCAACACTCCGCAGCCGGTGAGAAGCGAAGGATCCTTTGTCCAACATAGAGCTATCGATCTCCTGCCCACAGTAATATTGTTTGCCTCTATGTCTGTCGAGAGCGGTATCACTGCTAACGATGGTTTAGAGTCCGCCTCCACCTCACGAGAGACATACATCGTCACCTCGGTTGTAAGTAAGGGTACTAACACTAGGCAACATGTGCGTGGGTCCATTAGCTCTACCTTAGATGTAAATGGCCTTTTTAAGTATATCTAGACGCGGGAGTTGTCAATAGTAGTCCCTTGTTCATTATTACAACGTACTTACCGAGAAAAGATAAGCAACTCAATTACTTTTGAAGGCTTTGAATACATACATGATTCCGACAGGCCATCATCACCGACATCGCTCCTCCTCATCTACGACCGGCAGACCGCCGCCAGCGCCTTCACCTATAACAGTCAACGAACTTCAGGTTCGCACCTTGCTTTGTTGAATAAACGCCAGCGAACGATATGGCTAAACTGCTTGGGCCGAACAAGTGTTTCGTGCAACAGCTGAACTTCTTGGGTTTGTCTCTCGCAGGTAACAAAACCCCTTTGATCTTGGTAGAGATAATAGTGTTCTACTAGGCAGGCCAAACACCATCTATTTCCAATCACATTGGGCCTTGTAGCGTTGCGTTTTGAAGCCACTGGAGTAGTTTGTGGTGTTGCTGGTTGCTGGGTGGTCACATTATATCAGCTATTGTAATAAGTTATCTATCAACCGCTAATGCAGTCTTCATGGATGGGAAAGATCTGGAGTTGGCCGTACAGCCTTTGTGTTTCGTCGAAGATGGAGCCATCAAGACGTAGCGCTAAGTCTGTTGATGAGTATGGCACAAGCTCCTTTAGGTTTAGAGTAGGTCATTGTATGACACCTCCTTAGCCATCTAATAGCTATGTAGAGTATGACGCCTTCGCAAAGGGTACCCTACCAGTCATTGTCTTTAGTGAGTTCGACAGGCGATTGAGGCAAGGTCTTAAGCTTCTGGATCACGAATCCGAGCCCCAAACCTCAACGGTCCCTCTTCGAAGTCAGAAATTTGATCATAGGCTGAGCTATGCAAGACTCACCGTCTATACCAGCACTAGCCCATTCTTTTCTCGTCCGGTTCCAAGCCACGGCGCTAGCGACCTTCCCTCTGTGTGCGTCGACTTTGCCGAGCAGCTTGCCTTCAAGCACATCCCAAACACAGACTTGGCCATCCTCACTACCACTCAGGACGATTGCATCAGCCATGCCTAAACACGACCGGATTCGATAGACTTGATTCGTATGACCCTTGTAGCTCTGAAGGCACTGCCCGTTTCTTTTGTCAAATAATCTGATTGTCGAGTCCAGCGTCGACAACAAAATAGCGTTCCTATCATTCGTTTGTTGCACAGATGTTATCGGATCTATTCCTGACCGTAAGTCCCGCAACTGCAGATCTTCTAGATGGATACGCACGCCCAACAAAGTCCTCACTAACTATCCCCATCCTCAAGTCATAGACCCTTACCTTCCCATCCACACACCCTGTCACAATCTCCCACCCACTAACCTGCAAAGCGCTTACACTATCCTTCGCCTGCTCCAGCACCTGCACAGGCTTCGTACTCTGACTCTTTGCATCCCAAATCCTCACCGTGGCATCGAAGCTCCCACTCACCACCACACTTCCCTCGTCACCCCCGAAATCCACACAATTCACCCGGCTGAAATGCCCCGCCCATCTCCTAAGTGTGCGAGCGGTGCTCACGTCCCAGAGGAAGACCTGCTTGTCCCCGCCAACGCTGGCGAATCGTGCGTTGTCCGCGCCAACAGCAAGGTCTAGAATCTCGTAGCCGTGAGCGGAATAGATTTGGATGAGGCCCGAAGAAAGGATATTAGAAGAGGCTTTGAGAGGGTTGTAGAGGCGGATTGAGCGGTCGGAGGAGCCCGTTAGAATCTAGCTCGCGCGTTGCCTGATTAGAGCGGCAGGATTCTAGAGTATTAAGAGGTGGGGTTCGTACGTATTGACCGAGGCCAGCGGAGAATGCGACGGCGTGAATGGGACCTTGGTGACCGGTGAGAGTAGTGACAACACGATTGGGGAAAGCCATGACATGTTGGGGATGCAGTAGGAGAAGGATGATCGACCTCAAAAGTCACACTACATTACAGGCTAAGAGTTTTCCATACGCACACGGAACCCTAGACTGCCAACATTCAAAGCACTGACTTGCCTTATGCATTCAAGTGGCCACGAGATAACGTATTCATGCAATCCAGCACGACACGTCAGTATTTCAAGCAATCCTAGCCCGCTCCGAGTGGTACGCAGAGCACCTAACGACGGCCATGGCTCCTCTGCACGCTCCCTTGCATCTGTTCTAGTTCCATCTCGAGATTTTTAATGCTGTATCACAATTAGCATTGTGCGCGAGAAGCAGCCTAGTATTGAAACATACGCGGCGTGTGTAGTCTCAAGATCTTTATTCAAACGATCCCGCTCGGCAATTAATTTTTGCTCCCATTGTCTGAAGCGATTCTCTTCCAGCTTTACCTGCTCGGTAAATCTCTTCCTCAATGCCTCTTCTTCTTCTTTGAATTTGGGATTATCAAGTTTCTTAGGCCGAGCTTCGCCAAACTTCCTCGTTTCCATTTGTTGCGCACGGTACGCCTCGTAGTGCATCTCTTCAGTCGTGTGGATCAGGTCAAGCATGTGTGTCCTTATCAAAATTGATCGCAGCTTCTTGAAATCGCAATGATCTTCATCCTCCACCTCTGCCACACCCCATGAGTATTGACGCCCCTTTAGCACTCGGCCATCCTGGGTTTTGACGTCTTTCTCTGAGCCGATGACGGCAAAAGGCATAGCTTCCAGTAGAGCTCGCGCGTGGTTTGCAGCAGCCTCGTCATCCTCTTCTAGTGGTGGTTGATAGATCTTGATGCCTTGCATCTCAATGACGTTCCTAATCTAGAACCGTTCGTAAGTCAAGCTTACTCAACACGCCTGGCTTGGTGCCACCTACTCTGTGTTTGAAGCGGGCAAGGTCAGTGGGGCTCAATGTATCCGCCTTTGCAATAACAGGGATGAGATTGACTCGTGAGCTTAGTCGCTTCATGACTTCGATGTCAAGGGGTTTGAGGGTATGACCAGTGGGGCGAATGAAGTACAGGCAGGCATGGACTCGGAGGTCGATTTTGTCAACCCTGCGCGGTTGCTGCTCCTGCAGCATGTAGGATTCGTGTTGGTCATCAAGGAATTCTATGATTGGCATCCACGAGTCCCGGTTGTTCACATAGTCACCAAAGCCAGGGGTATCAATAACCGTGAGGCGGACTGACCCAAGCTATCAGTGAGTATGCTTGGCTTGGGTCAATACGGAGTAGTATCTTATCCAACCTTTGAAGAACTTCTCCTCCAGCTCAGCCTTGGTGATCTCGATCTCTACGGTTTTGTCCACCTGCTTGGCATGGCGGCGGCGATGGTCTGCGTAGTTCTTAATCGTAGTAGAGAAAAGCGTGTTGATGAACGTTGTTTTCCCTAGTCCTGACTCGCCAGCTACCATGATAGTAAAGGCGGCACCTCGCTTTGCAACAATTTTGTGCCTATCGATCAGTAAGTAGGAAGGCATCAAACTGCGATAGAAGCTCGATCGCGGATGACGAGAGACGATACCGTTGGTTCGGAAGCTTTCGCGGAGCAATGTTAGCGGGGATGAAGAGCGCAGCGAACGTAGAAGAGGGCAGCATTCGTACATTGGCAATCCCGATCGGAGAAGCGCTCTCAGACGTTGCTGGAGCCATAGCTGCTCAATATCACCAAAAAGGTTGTAATGACAAGTACCAAAAGGTTTTCGATGGCGCAAAGATGGTGACCGCGGACTCTCAATGCAGGGAGATTTGTCTCGCTACTTTGCGCAGCACCGGTCAAACAAGGTAACGAGAAAATCAACTTGACGAAAGGTGTGTTGATACTACGGAACAGAATTTCAGGAGAAAAGTCTTGGCCCTGCCAAAGAAATGAGGCCAGAAATAGATTAGCTTGCCCACAGACCCTCTTCTCATTCTAGCCAACATGCGGAGGGGAGACAACAAAGCGCTCGCTGCGAGACGGCTTGAGCGGCGGCTGGCTGACTGTGGCCTGTCTTAGGATGAAGACTGATTTTGCGGTAGACTGCTCTTACAAGCCCCCTCCCCATTGTTCTTGGTCTAATGTTTCGTAGTTTTCTAACTTACTGGGCAAAGTATATTGCAAAGGCAACCTGCTTTTCACACCCGATGGTACAACTTTGATCTCGCCGGTGGGCAATCGTGTCACAGTCTTTGATTTGGTCAAGTAAGAATGAGCTTCAAAGATTGGCTAGACATGCTTGAGTTCTAACGTGCTCAGTGACAAATCCTACACGCTTCCCTGCTTTCACCGCCGCGATATTGTTCGCACCTGTCTGAATTCCCGTGGCAATCTTTTGCTTTCTGTGGATGAAGATGGCCGATGTGTTCTTACAAACTTTCATCGAAGGCTTGCCCTCTACCACTTCACTTTCAAACATCCACTTTCAGCTCTAGCTTTCTCGCCCTCCGGTCGTCACTTTGCCGCTGGTGGTGCTCGTTTCATCGAGGTGTGGCATATGCCAGATGTGCCAGGTGTGGATTCTCAAGATGGATTGGAGTTTGCACCCTTCAGACGCCATCGGATCTATGCAGGTCATCACGATCAGGTGCAGCATATCGAATGGTCGAATGATTCCCGGTTCTTCCTCAGCGCCAGTAAAGATCTCACTGCTCGGATATGGAGCGCGGACCCAGAGGAGAAATTCTCACCGACAACGTTGGCTGGCCACCGAGAGAGTCTCCTTGGCGCATGGTTTTCGAATGACCAGGAAGACGTAAGCTCACGTTCACCGTGAATGGTTCTTGGGCATTGAACGAGGTCTAGATATATACTGTCAGCCAGGACGGAGCACTTTTCCAATGGAATTACATACAGAAGCCATTCGAGAATGGGAGTGTAGTAGCCAACGATGAGAACGGAACGCCCCCTCAATGGCGTATATCACAGCGGCATTACTTCATGCAAAATGACGCAAAAGTCATGTCTGCGGCTTTCCATGCAGAATGTGGTCTTCTTGTTGTAGGTTTCTCAAATGGCCTCTTCGGCTTGTATGAGATGCCGGATTGTAGCGTAATACATACCTTGAGGTTAGTTCCCTCACTCATATGAATGATGTGCCCTTATGGAGGCATATAGTATCTCGAAGAATGACATTAATGCTGTCACCTTGAACCTTTCTGGAGAATGGCTCGCCTTTGGGTCTTCCAAGCTTGGTCAGCTCCTCGTGTGGGAGTGGCAATCGGAGTCATATATTCTTAAGCAACAGGGCCATTTTGATTCCATCACCGACCTCGCATTCTCTCCGGATGGCCAGCGCATTATTACGGCTGCAGACGACGGGAAAATCAAGGTGTGGGACGCGCCCTCTGGTTTTTGTACAGCAACTTTCACAGAGCATACCAGTAGTGTGACTGGCTGCGAATTTGCAAGGAAGGGCAACGTTCTTTTCACCTCTAGCTTGGACGGATCTGTGCGTGCTTGGGACCTGGTCAGATACCGAAATTTCAGAGCGTTTAGTGCCCCAACCCGTTTGTCATTTTCATGTCTTGCAGTGGATCCAAGCGGCGAGGTTGTGTGCGCCGGCTCTACCGATTCGTTTGATATCCACATTTGGTCCGTTCAAACAGGGCAATTGCTAGACCAGCTCTCTGGACATGAAGGACCTGTTTCGTCCATGGCATTTGCGTCTACAAGCGATGCACTTGTTAGTGGCAGTTGGGATAACACAGTGCGGATTTGGAGCATCTTTGGTCGCACACAGACAAGCGAGTCTTTGCAGCTACCGGCTGACATCTTAGCAGTTGCTTTTCGTCCAGATTCGAAACAAGTTGCCGTCTCAACTCTCGATGGTCAGCTCACCTTTTGGTCCTCTGAGGAAGGCACTCAAGAATCTGGTATTGATAATCGTCGAGATGCCTCTGGAGGTCGCAAGCTATCAGATCGGCGGATTGCTGCAAACACTGCCGGCACTAAGTCGTTTAATTGTATTGTATACAGTGCAGACGGTACTTGTATCCTTGCAGGAGGGAGATCAAAATACATCTGCCTTTATGATGTTCAATCAGGCACCCTGCTCAAAAAAATAACGACATCCGCAAATCTCTCTCTGGACGGAACGCAGGAGTTTCTCAACAGCCGTAACCTCACTGATGCGGGCCCAAAGAGCTTGTTAGATGAGAATAGAGAGGAGCCCGATTTCGAAGATCGCCTTGATCGGACTCTTCCTAGAACAATCGGGGGAACCCCCTCTTCAAAGCACTTACGACAACTTATTCGGACGTCTGCCATCAGCTTTTCACCCACGAGCCAAGCCTTTTGTGCAGCGACTACAGAAGGGCTTCTCATATACTCCCTGGACACCACGCTACAATTTGACCCTTTTGACCTAGAAATCGACATTACGATCGCTGCAGTTATCGAGGCCGTTGAGGAGAAAGACTATCTACGGGCACTCGTCCTAGCGTTCCGGCTGAACGAAAAGTCTCTCATAAGGCGTGTGTACGCGGCCACACCAACCGCAAGCATTGATCTGGTGGCGCAGCAGCTACCAAGGGTTTATCTAGCTCGTCTGATGGGGTTCATTAACGAAGCAACGGGCGAGACTCCACCCCTTGAACTTAACCTACTTTGGATCGAAGCTATACTAAGTTTCCACGGTGGTTACATAAAGGGAAATTCGTCAATGCATATGACGGGGATGAGAAGCATAAAGAAGACGATAGCCAAGATTGAGGCCGATTTGTCTAGACTAGGTGATGAGAACGTCTATACGCTTGATTATCTCCTGTCTCAGCAGTGATGCGCAGTATAAAGCAAATGTTGACCAAGGTAAGGGAAGGTTACAAGAAGGTTCAAGTCGTGAGTTCAGCAAATACATAGCCAGTAGAAGGCTAGCGAAACCTAGATCGTGGGACTAAGAGGATCTTGTCACTGGCGACAATTTGTTGATCCCAGCAATATTGTTTATGGCCAGAATGAGGTGTTACTTGTCTTCATTCAATCTCGGCTTCTTCGACCCCCTTTCGTCTTCCTGAAGCCCATGCTTCTGAGCTCCTCCAGATTTACCAGTCACTTCTCGTATCATCTCATCGATTTTGAAAGGATCGTCACCACCAACAGCAGCGACATCTTTCTCAAACTGTACTGGGCCCTCTCGTTGTGCAGCTTCAGCAGCCCCTTTAAACCCTTCTTTTGCTTTCCCCAAAACCTCGAATCTATTGCTCTTAGAAATCTTGTCATATTCCTTAGTGCCAGCCTCCACCTCGTCCTCATCTTCAGCGGTCGTAGTGGGCCGATAGATGCTACTTAAAGCGTCCTGAGCAGCAAACAATGGTTTGTCGTAAGCCTGATCTTCATTGAAGCCTGTATCAAACCCGCTAGTTTGATTGAACAACCGGGAATCATACATGGTTTCTTTAGATTGAGTAGGTTTTGCCAGTCCCAACGCTACCTTCTCTGATATATCTCTATTCTGCTCCCTCGCGAGCATCTGCATTCGACGCTCTGCACCCATCCGAGACTGGCGGAATTGCTTTTCATTTTCCTTCTTCCGTTCTTGTCGCATTCGTTGACGTTCTCTTGCGGCCTCTTCACCCTCGCTGTCTGATCTGTTCGAAGATGCTGAACTTCTGCTGTAAGATCTTGCCCTTGTCTCACGCCCACTAGCTTGAGCTTGTTCTTCTCGAGCTCGCCGCGCGAGTGCCCTCAACTGGTCTTCTTTTCGGGTTCGTTCCTTCTCAGCCAGTTTTTGCTGCATTGCTGCTCGTTGCTTGACTTCCTCTCTGGCATGCCTATCTGCCGTAAAGAGCGATTCTGCGAATTGGGCAAACTTGTCGTTTATAGTAACATCCTGCAACCCACGACCGTCCGCCGCGAGCCGCTTGTCAAGGGGAACGGTATAGCCTTTTGGATTTTTCCAATTAGAGACAGGAGGCGGAATCTTCCACGCTTCTTGATCTTCTGCAGTAAGTTTTCGGGGAGGTGAACGCATGACAGGTGGAGGCGGAGAGGGTGGGCCTCGAGGTATCTTTTTGTGCTTGAATTTAGGGGGTTCCATGGGGTCTTGCTGTCGCTCGACGATCTTCATTATGCGATCATTCTTGCGAGAGGTGTCGCCCATTTGGTTCGCAGGGGTGTAGCGAACGTAAGTAGCCTCATTCTTTTTCAACCCATTCACTTGCTTTGGCTTTTGAGCTGCAAGAGCGCCAGTCACCAATTTTGCAAGCGCCTCCTTGGTCTTTTCTGTTTGTTGAGCCACATCTTCTTCTGAGGGGCGTTCGAGAGATAGCTCTCCCACATCTGCCCTTTGCCGCAAAGGTATCAAGTCTTTGAAAGACGTATGAATGATCCGATTTCCGCCGTGGCCTTGTCGAGCAATTGCATCATATTTGACCTTCCCTTCGGCATCTACTTCTAACGCTAGTGCGTTCGAAGACGACGAGGACGATTTTCGTCCCATGTCAAGGGGATACTGGGCGAATGGAACCTCGGGAAAAGCCCCTCCGTCACCGTAATCATCTGGGCCCCTTGGCCGCCATGCAGCGCGCAAACCGTACGCCGGAGGCCCATGGCGCTGTAAGCATTTTAGCTGTAGTGTCTCGTCGTTGCTGAAGAAAGTTATGCCTACCTTTAAAACGACCTGTGTCTCATCCAGCACTCCAGCTCCGACTACCCTAAGTCCATTGGCCTTGGTATGGCTAGGCGCTTCTTCAGGCTCACCATTAAACATTGGCTTTGGCAATGCTTGTGAAAGCGAGGTCATGCTAGGTGACATCTTGATAAAAAGCACGTATAAGCCAAAAAGGTGAATAATAATTGTTCGTATATATCGCTACGGTGAGCGAAAGATACAGACTAGAGTAAATTACTTTGAATTAGATTAGTTAGTTCTAAGAGTATTAAGATAGCGATTTAAAGCCTTTAATTTATTAATAGAAATATTAAGGGAGAATAAAAAGAGTATACTTTTTAATAGAAAAATAATAAAATAATAATTATAATTTAATATAAACTTAAGAATATATTAAAAATTAAATTTAAAATTAAGTATATAATTATAAAACTAATATACTAGCTCCTTACTAGCGATTATAATAAAAGACATAGAATATAAATAAGCTTATAGTAATATATAAGAACTAATTACTAAAGAACTATTTATAGGGGCTAATACCCTTTATAAGAAGTTTTACCCTGCTTATTAAAATAGATAAAAAACCTTTTAATAAGTTTAACCTACTAAGCCCTTTTTACCCTAGCTCCTATAAGCTTTCTTAGCGCCTATAAATAGCTAGTAGCTAATAATTGCTTCCCCTTTATATACTAGTCTCTAGTATATAAAAGTAGAGCGGAAATAAGTTATAAATTAACTTATAAAAGCTTATTAAAAACTTTTTAAACTTTTAAAAATAAAAAAAAATAAAAAGTTTTTTATTATTATATATTATTATAGTGTAAATATTAATATATAGTAATAGTAATATTATATACTTAACTCTTCTATTATTATATAAATAGTAGAAGGCTAAGCTAATAAAACTATAAAATAATATTTTATTATTAAGTAGCTAGTACTATTATTATTATAATAAAAAATTATTATTATACTTATTTTCTCTTTTTAATAGTTTTAATAGCTATTTTTTATAGGTTTTATTATTATAAATATAATTGCTAGCTAATTACTAATATAAACTTAATATTTTTAAAAACTTTTTATATATATTATTATCCCTACTAACTCCTTACTAGTATATTTATTTTTTATTATTTTTATAAAAATAATATAATTAACTTAGTTATTACTTATATTACCCTTTTTTATTAAAGTAAATAGCTACTAGCTAAGTACTAATATAAGTTTAATAAAAATAAAAACTATTAACTTTTTATATATTATATATAAATATACTTTTACTATTTATAATTAATATTAATTATTTTATTATAGCTATAATTACTACCTTTTAGTAAGTATTTAATATTAGCTTATTATTAATATTAATAAAAATAGTTTATTAAAAAATTCTATACTTTTATAAAATAATTACTTTACTATTAATACTATATTAATAATAGCTTTACTACTATTAAAAATATTATTAAAATTATATTTAAAAAAATATTAATAATAATAGAAAAAGTATAACCTTATTAAAATTATAACTTTAATATTTATTATATAAGTATAGAAAGAATAAGAAAAAAATATAATATTAAAAAAAAAACAAAGTTTTAACTAATTTACTAAAAAAAATAACTAAAAAATATAACTCTATTATATACTACCTTAAGTGTAAGGAAATGTACTAGGTACAAGCCTTAATAAGCAATATATATAATGTAGTTAGTTGATAATAAATTAATTATAAAGCTATCTAGGAAATATAATAGAAGTAAGGCCTTATACTAAGCTAGATAGGGCTAAGCTAAGCCTAATTAGGATATCTTACCTTTCTTATATTCTAATCCATAATAGTATACTATTAAAAATAATAAAAAATAATATCCTTATTATTAATATAGCTTTATTTTTATCTATATATATTTAGCTTTTATAAAGAATTATCCCTATCTAATTTAGTCGAGTTTTAGGCAAAAACTACTTATATTATATTAAGGAACTTTTTCTTAGAAGCTGCAGCAACAATAAGGTTAAACTAATTAGGCTAAGAATTATGTTGGAGGGGTATCTAAATATATAGAAGGACTAATAGTAAGCGGAAGCTAATTAGTTAGAAAAAAGTATTAAAAATTAGAGGTAGGAAATTATTATTTTAATAAAGCTAGAAAATAGTACAGAATAGCTATATAACTAAAAAACTATAGCTTAAATTGTCTAAAACTAGCTTAAAACTTATTAATAAACTCTAAGCTATATAAACTATAAATAGAAATAAGAATAGAAATAGCTTATTTCTTAAGCTATTTTATATAGGTTTTAGCTTTAGAAGCCTTTTTTAAATAGGGAGCCTATTTCTGCTTTTTCTTTATATTATATCTAAGCTTTTTAATTAGTTAGTTCTTTAGCTTATCTTTTTAAGCTATAATTAAAGGAAGCTTATTTATAAACTATTTTTTAAAGTTATTCTATATAAGGGTAAGTAAAATAATTAGCTATAAAGGCTTAATTGTTTTAAGTATTTTAAAAGGAATATAGTATATATAGAGGTTAGAAATTATAAGGTATAATATTAGTTTAAAAGCTAAGTATATAAGAGCTTAATTTTAATAGGCTAGAGAAGGTATAGCTAGAAGCGATAATATAATAGAAGCTAATTTAGTTAGTATAAAGGTAGCTACTATTGCTATATATATTAGTTTTAATAATATAGTTAGAGGAGTAATTATAAAGTAAACTTTAATAAATAAATAGTTTAAGTATATCTTTTTATAATAAATAGCTAGGTCCTATAATTAATTATATTAATATAAATTATATAATAAATAGATAGCGCTATTATTATATATAATATTAATACTATTAGTATATATATATATTTAAATAAAGTTTACTTTTATTATATTAGCTACTATAAAGCTATTTTAGTAGGGCTAAAGCTTAAAGGTCTTAAAATAAGCTTAACGCAAGATAAGTTTATAAGTAATAGAAGAAAATATAGTAGTATAATAATATTTAGCTAAAGAATTGTTAGAAATTTTAATAATAGTATTTTAAAGATTTTAATAATAGTTTTTAGTAGTTGCTAGCTAGGTGTTAGGGCTATAAATATAGATTTTCAATATTTAAATAAATATAATAATACCTAATCTTTTAGTATTACTATTATTTATAAAGAAACGCACTAGGTATAAGCCTTAATAAGCAATATATATAATATAGTTAGTTAATAATAGATTAATTATAAAGCTATCTAGGAAATGTAGTAGAAGTAAGGCCTTATACTAAGCTAGGTAGGGCTAAGCTAAGCCTAATTAGGATATCTTACCCTTCTTATATTCTAATCCGTAATATTAAGTAATATTAAAGTATAAGTTTTTTTTTAATACTATTAGTATACTAGCTTATTAACTTATATAAAATAAATTAAATTATATATTAGTAATAAATAATAAAGTAGAAATATTATTTTCTTTAATTTTTTTTATTTTTCTTATTTATATTTTTCTTTAATAATAAAATAAATAAAGGTAATACTAATATATTACTAATACTTACTAATAATAAGAATAATAAAAATAATAAAAACAATAATAAAAAAATATATTCTCCTTCTTTTTCTAATAATAATACTCTGCTAGTAGGTAATAATACTTTTATTAATATACTTAAAAGTATTATACTTTATAGAAAAAATAAAATAAATTATATCTACTATTTCTTTGCTAGTGCTAATAAATTAAATAATATTAAACTCTAGCTTAAATAATAATAATATTAATAATAAAATACTTTTAAATAAGTATAAACTTAAGTTTAAAATAATACTTACTTCTTTCCTTTTATTATATAAAAAATTTACTACTTCCCCTATTATTAAAAAGTATAATAAATAGTAAATATTAAAAGTCTAAAATAGTAATAAAGTAATTTTATTAATAAAATACTTCTATTAATATTTTATTAGTAATTAGAAATTATTTTTTATTAGGCTAGTTTTAATATATAAATATAAATAGTATTTAGTATTTAAAGTTAAAATTTTTAACCTATATATTAAAGTACTTTCTAATTTATATTAGACTTTAATTTAATAATAATACTTAAGTATTAACTTAATATATTTTTATTAAATTAGTTTAGAAAAATAACTTTTAATTATATTTAATTATTAATAATTTAATTACCTTCTACTACTTCTATTATTAATATACTAGTTTAATTTAAAAGTAATATTATCTTTTAAATATAAGTACTTTTTATTTATTTTTCCTTTTTCTTTAACTTTAAATTATTATAAATACTTTTTAATTTATAAGTTAAAAAGCACCTTTTAATTTATTACTTTTACTTTCTCTTTAGTTAATAATACTAGTAGAATAGCTATAAATAAAAATAATATTTTATAAATAACTTAAGAGGTAAAATATATAAAGAATAATAGTTAAGTATAAAAGCTTAGCTAGGCATATATTATATACCCTAGCTAGCTTATAATTATTATTATAATTACTTTTACTTATATATTACTTACTTTTTAAACTCTTTTTAAAAATTTATTATAGTATTTAATTCTTTATATAATAGTTATTAATTATAATTAATACTTTAATTTATTTATTTTATTTTATATTAAACTTTATCCTTATTTTTAACCTTATTTTTAACCTTATTTACTATTTTTTTAATCTTTTATATTTCCTTATTATTAATTAGCTCTAGTCCTTATATAAATACTATCTTAGTATTATCTTAATAAGTATAAAGTTTAAATAATAATATATAAAATATAAAATAAATCTAGTATATTAAAAATAAAGTTAAATAATATACTTATACTCTAATCTTATTTTTAATTCTAAATAGCTTAATAAACTTTAAATAAAGCTTTTTATTTAAATATTTTTACTTAAAGTTTTTAATATTTAATATAATTAAGTCCTTTATATAATACTTTTTTAAAATATATTTCTAATTATAATACTTAGCTTAGCTTTCACTAATAGTATACTAGCGCTTAGCTATTTAATTTTATAATAATTATAAATATTTAATATATTTATTTATAATAAGTACTTTCTCTTTAAAAAAATTATCTTTAATTTCCTAATATATTTTAGAGTAATAATTATACATAAACTTAAAAAATATTA